CGGCCTCCAGACGCGTCCCTGCATGCACCCCTCTCCCCGCCCGGCTCCAGGTCGCCTAGCCTAAAGCGGCGTCCCACGCCCTCTCCCTCCTCCCGTGGCCATTCCTCCCGCTCTGGAGTAACAGGTATGCTATTTTGGGTAATTGTTATCGTTTAAGGCGAGAACCATGTGGCTGTGTAAAAAATGCAACTCCTTCCACACCCCCGTTAAAAAAGAAACGGGCTAAAACGCCCAACTCCCAAGATGTGTGGGTTCCCTGTTCAGTTTTTCTTCTCCTTCTTTCAAAGAGGAATTTGCCTGAGTTTACCTCTTAGAGCCCACGTTTTTGCCTGCTCAGCTCCACTATATCTGGGTTTTCTCGAATGAATTTTGATGCAGATTATATTTCCTTAAATTTTGGGGTGGCTATGGTGAGCTGGGAGAGAGACAGTCTTAATCCCCCCCCCCCTTTGGTGATACCGTCGTAGATTCTGAGTTGCCCTTTTTTTTTTTTTCTTTCACTGTAAGAAACTCCTCTCTCCTCTGTGAGCTATTCACAGTTGCCTGGAAAGTTGTGCTTTATTCTGCCAGCTTTGAAAACTGCAAATGGATGGAATGGGGGTGGAGTACAAAGAAGGTAGCCACTGGAGCTGCTAGCCCCACGGGGATTTTATGGCTTTATTCTCTCCCTCCCCGACCCTCTAGTTGCCTCCAGCGCCCCAATTGTGCCCTTAACAGAAATCTGCCACTTCCGATTTCTTGCTGCAAACTCTTCCCTTTCCAATCTTAATTCTTCAGCTGCTGAATGTCCGCACAGAGAATGGGGGATAGAGAGAGGACCAAGAGCTTGTGATTTTTACACACACACACACACACACACACACACACACACACACTCCTGAGAAACATTAAATTCCTTCCTGACAGAGTCATGTCTTCTCTGAAACCATTTAAAAAGCTTTACTGGAACCGTTTCAAGTTCCAATAAAGTTGAAATAGCACAAAAAGCCACAAAAATCTGATTTTCTTTTGTCTTTCATTTCTTGTTATATGAGAGATTAGTTCACTTGGTTAAGTTCCTTCCATAAATTAAATTTTGTGTTTACAAAAGCTTTTTCTTTTCTCTTACCTCAAAATACCCATTGAAAGGTTTCGCCTTTGTTGATTAATTCACTGAGGAGGGGACTGGTTGGCAGCAGGAGGTCAACATTTAGGTCTTTAATTCTTTCAGAGTTGGTTGTTTACAACTACAGATAAAATAAATAGGTAAAATGCCTTTCTTCAGTAACCCGGAGATCCAAATAAACTTTGGAGAAAATATCTTTTCTTTCCCCTCTTCAATAGAAATGGAAATTTATGTAGGAATGCCAGCTTCAGAATGTCTCCTTAGCAACGTGAATCTTTTGCCCCTTTCTCTCTGTCCCCTGAAATAATAGCCCTCTGATTGCATAAAGACTTTTCAGATAGGTTAGAGAAACCAGCTTCAACTTCCATTTGCTTTTCAGGCCATTATCCTTTTCTCTTGGCCAGGAATGTAGGGAATGGTGAGAAGCCAGCTCAAGTTTGTTTGAGCAGTATGCAGTGTTTGCTAATCTTTCCTTAATTGCCTCCATACCCATTTATTTCAGCATTTTTTTTCTCTTCTAGGCAAAGAAATAGGGAGACCCAAGCTTAATGCAAATATAGTGGATTTTTACTCTGCAATGTAAAAAAGAAGAGACTGACCACTTCCCCCTCAAGCACTTTTTTTCTATCCCCATGCATATATTCATGGAAAAAAAATACTTTTCAGCTCAGAAAATGTAGTTTGTAAGCGAATGGGTTACAAGTGAAGGTGGTTTTGGTGGAGGCTATCTGGAACAAGTTCTTGACTTGATGTAGTAGCAGTTCAGTTTTGCTCTCCACAGTGGTAGTGGTGATGGGGGGTGATGGAAAGGAAATAAAAGATGGAAAATTGCCATGTCCCCAGTAACAAAATGTTCTTTTTTAAAATGTTATGTTATGTGCACTTGAAACTTCTATCAGTATTTTTGAAACAAAGGGGGACACCAGAATCGAAACCAGCAATGTTTTGCTTGCCTGATCCAAAGGGTAGACAGCGTTTTTCAGTCTGTTTGCTGTGTAGAGTAGCTAAAGGGAAGGGAGGGAAATGCCTTTCTCTGAAGGTTTGTAAGAGATCCACTTCCTTGTATCTTGAAATGAATTATCTTGGGAGGAACCACCAAGGACAGTTTTACTGAAGGCCCTACACCAGGATCTTCAGGGCTTAATTAAAAACCTTTGTCTTAATTAGAATTTAAACTGCCGGGAAGAGGCAAGCTTGTATTTACAGAAGGAAATTTTCGGGAATGTTTCTTCTGACGACAGTGTGCCCTAGTTAGGCCCAGTTTCTACTAAAACTTTCCCCTAAGCCATTATGTTTAAACTTGCATTTTAATTTGGGTACCAAATATGCATCGTTTGCTGTTTATAACCTATTTTATGGTTTTAAGCGAAAGCAGAACCATGCCTCTTGTGTCCTGGTGTACTGAAGGTTGCGTCAGCACTTCTAGTATGAACCAGTAATCTGGTTGTCAGTCAGCAAGAATGCTTTTCTCTGGCGTCTAATTCAGTAATTCAGTGTACTAGGGACCGTGCAGACAATAGTCTTAAGTTTTACAAAAAGACAAATGAGAAAATGACTTATTGACTGTCATTGGTGGTGGTGCAAAAAGAAAAGAAACATAAAGTATGCTTGTTAGGAAGTTTAGAATATGCAGTACTCATGGCTGCTGGCCACAGAATTCCTTTCTAAGAATGGTTTTCCACAGTACTGTTTAGGACAGGCTTTTAATGAATCTTAAAGCTTACTCAAGGTTGTACCGATGTTTTAGATTTCTGTTTACTCTTGTTTAGTTTTGATAACTTTGTTTTAGAATATAGTTGTTAGGAGTTCACAGCCATAGCAGTTGTGAGAGAATCCTTTCTATCCACAAAGTACTTGATCAAATAATGCCTTTTTCAAGGAATATTGTTAACATCATTCATGCACTATACTAAAAATAGCTGCATTTGTAACATGAGTCACTGTTAGCTTTGAAATGGCAGTGTACCATATGCTAATAACAGGTGAATATTAATTTTAGTATAAAACTCCACTTTGAGGAATTTATAAGAAAACCTGTTTTAGGTGATACTTTAAGATCAATAGAACTGCCTGAACACCTTCAGTTCTTAAAAGATCTGAGATACAGTGATTCTGAGTTCAGACATGTATCATCTGTGCATGCTTTTGAATCTGTACCTTAATTCAGAAAACTGAATTTCATTGGGAAACCTCACAATATGATTTGCCCCAGGGAAGGTTCATCTTGTTACTTGAAATGAGTTGATATTAATGGATGTTTACACATAGCTCAGCAAACCTGGAACTCACTGCAGTTAAACCTCCTCTGACTCCCTCTAAAAGAACATAAGTAGGACAAATGCAATTTCATTAAACCTGTACAGCACAGATGGTGAAAAATTAACAGTACTAGTTAGTACCCAAACTTTCTCAACTAATGAACATGAGAAAACTAAGTGTAACTTATTTCAAAATCTTCAGGATCTTTTAAAAATATCTTCTAGAATTTCACATTCCCCAGATTTACTTTTACAAAGGATATTTTAATTTGTGGGCAAATATAATTCCTCTTTTGCTCACATTCATAGAAGGATTATAATCCCCAGGGAGCCACTTAGATCAGTCTTTGGCAGCAAAGGGATTTGATGGGTGTGTGAAAAGCCTGGCCTTTGATAAAACATATCAAAACAAAAACAAACAAAAGCATATTTCAAGCAATAGATTGTATCTGCTGTCAGTAATACATTGGAGGAATTTCTTTGTTTCTGTTTAATGTAAGACCCTTTGAAAGACTATAGATACAGCCAGTACTACTAGATATATTAGTCAAAATGGTTGTAGATGTTTCAAAATAAGTCTCTTGATTACCTAAATACCACAGCAAACTTATATATGAACTATGCTAAATCCGTGGCAGCAGAGAGAGTATTATTATGGAGAATACATGAGACTTTGGGTTCTAACTGATCTGAACTTGGCCACTTAACAACTATGTGACTGAATACAACTTATATATAAGTTCTCAAATGATTTGTCATGAAGATTAAATATATGAAACTATTTATTTCATATCATGTATGTAGAAAAATAGACTCAGTGATTTAGGAGGTCTTTTCCCTCTTAAATAGTAAAATTTCTTTGCATTTCATTTAATTTCAAGTTTAAATATTGATATGTATTACCTAGTGTTTAATAATATTCTTGGTATGTCATGATCACAAAACCATTATTCATTTCTACCCACATACTATGATTATTCCCAATGTCATAAACTTGCATAGTGGCTAATGTAATTCCTAAATACTGTTGAGAATACCAGGAATTTTTTGTGAATTTACTAAGATCTCAATTGATTGGCTGTAGAGACAAGATTTACCAAGAGTATTCCAGTTGCTAATGTTAGGAAGCTAACCATAACAAAAGTTAGTGTTGTACAATAATCATTTTGTTATGTTCATTAATTATGTGGGTCAGTAATTCAAATAGGGCATAATAAAGATGGTTTGTCTCTGATCCAAGATATCCAGAGCCATACCTAAGTATGACTTCAGTGACCTGGGAATGGAACATCTGGAAATGTAGAACCTTTTCCAAATAGTTTTACTCAGAGATTTGTCACCTTGGTATAAATAACTGGAAAGGTAGCCTCAACTAGAACTCTAACTAAAGCAGCTATAGGAACTCTTTCTAACATGGGGATTTTAGGATAGTTAGACATACATAATGAGTGATTTTCCCCAGAACAAGATTCCTAAGAGAACCTGCCCCATTGAACTAGCATGGCAAATCACACATCTCTTTTATCACATTCTGATCCTTTTGAAGGAGCCCTATAGTCAAGCTCAGGTTCAAGGAGAGTTAGACTTTACCCCTTGATGGACTGACCATTCAATCCATCTGACACTGTGCAATCCATCTGACACCGAGTCTAGCTGCAAATCTGCATTCTTTATTACCTCTGAAGAAAGAAAACAACCACATAATTTTTGCCTTCAGCCAGTACATGGCTTTAGTGATTAGTCACTTGCATGGGATCACTA